TTGGTGTGTGTGCATATGTTACACTTGTGACAACATGCCCTTGCAGTTTTCTACTCCAATGTTGTGGCAGTTTTTACATTGGAGACCCAAGTTTGGGAAACACCACATATATAGCCTTCAGCACCTGTCCCTCTCATTTTGTGACCATTTTCATTGTTGTTGTGCAGGCTGCCTTTTTGTCTGTTTGGGGTGTGGGGTTTTGATCCATTTTAAGGCACTCTGATAGCATTTCCTGTTTTCCTACAGTGAAATGGTTATTTTCTGTTGCCCACAGGTTTAATTTCCAGAAGTGCCTCTAGGGCTAAAAATGTTGGGGAGCTCTTCTCTGCTGTGTTTTAAGATGGGAGTCTTTGCCAGCCTTACCTGAAGATTCCCCATTTTGAAGACTGAGGTTTTTGTGTGTAAAATAGGGGCTTACATCTGAGCTACAAATTTACCTTATTCCAATGAAAATGAAGTGCATAGTGAAATGACAAACTCTTCCTTTATTTTAACAGAACTAAACTACTGCAAACTACTGTATTTAGGCAAAGTCTTGCGTTTTATTATTCAGGAGCAAACATTAACTTGGTACTCCCAAATTACTGGTACCTGCATACACTGAGGCTACAATCCTAATCCCATTTACCCTGGAGCAAGTATCACTGAATTCAATAGGACTTACCTTGGAGTATTTGTGGTTCGAGTTGCACAACTACCGTAACCAGCAAGTGCTTGTGATAAAAATCCAAGAACACAGGTAGCAGATGCTGAAAAGATCATTCCTCACTTTCCTGTAGAGGACAGGCAGTGATTTCTTGACAGCAGCCCATTCTTACATCACATGAAACCATGGTTTATTCAAATAATGCTTTATTGAACAAACCATGTTCAAAGCCAAAGGACATTCTACATGCAATGTAATTATGGTTTTGTCATACTCTGCCCTCCTTATTTCCTACCCTCATCTGTCTTTTGTGGTACCAAATTGCTATCATTGCCTCACCTGCAAGAGAGGATGTGAAAGATTCTCAGTGATCTTCATCAGCACCTGTCATGGAACAGCAGGTATCTTCATCCCTTCACCCAAGAAAGAAGCACCCATACCATTTTGCAGCTTGTGGGTGTTTAACCTTTTTATTCTATTCCCCTAGTCTGCAACCACACACACACACCGACAATAGGCTGTTAATGTGAAAGTTATGCTTTACATTTAGTGAACATTACCTATGCTGGTGTCACCTGTGTCTCTGCTGGCAGGGAGTTTGAAAGGCCGTTTCAGTAATGAATGTTTTAGTAGTTTAAGGATGTTAATTGTAATGACTGTCAGGAATGGAACTTAATTTTGGAACCCTCCCACCCCTTACTCAACACCTGCTCAAATTTAAGGGAGGAACGCTCTTAAAAATCAATCATTTTTCCAGGATCCTGTTACCAGGCAGTTAGCAGCGACATCAGCTTTAGGGAAAAGATTAGAAAGAGGAGCTGAGTGCCAAGAGGAGCTTCATTTTTCATCATTCTTGTCTAATGTCACTGTTGCTTGGCTAGTAGCTTGAGAGCAAAAACTTTAACCACAGTAAATGAGGTACCCACACCAAGTCATTGTTCAGGTTAGTAAACCAATAACATGAACGAGCCATAGTTAAACAAACCATAGTTAAGGCACTGTACTGGGCAATGCTAAGCCATGGCTTGTTAACTAAGTTTTATTTAAACCATGGTTAATAGGGATGTATGAACTTCCAATTTTCACGAATTACAAAGATCTGGATTAAGAAATTTAAGTTCTTTGCCTGTGTTTATATTGGTAGTAACTTCAGTATAATGTATGTAGCTTTGGGGTTTTTTGTTGTTTTTTTTGCTTTGCAATCACAGGTTGAACTTCCTGAAGTTGCCAGTGAGTGAGCTGAAATGGCTGGAGAAATAAAATATTTTTTTAAAAAATATGGTCCATTTGCTACAGAAAACCAGCAAGTTATAACTTCACAACTTTCTGGATGCATTCAGTATTTCAAGGACCACATCATCATCAGGGCTCTTTTTCAGCTGGAACAAAGTTCCAGCACCTCTTTTGTGTGTTCCAGCACCTCTGTAGTGTTGCAGTGCCATTTCTTTGTGTTGGAGGTGGTGTGCAGCACAGCTTTGGCTAGTTGCTCCCCCCCCACAAAAAAAGCTCAGGTTTGGGGGGGGGCCCTCTCCTGGTCCCAATAAATACATCAGGTTGGGATCTGGGGAAACGCCTTTTTCAGTGGCTGCACCCACAGGCTCTGGAACAACCTCAAAAGGAACGCTTGTGTTGCCTCTCATCAATGGCTTTTTTACTACATACAATAATACCTTTGCTTTTAAAGAGAACTTTTGAGTCTTAAATGATTTTAAAATTCTGCTGCAAATGTTATGGTTCTAAGGGGTGCTTCAGTGGTATTTTTTTGCTTTGTATGCTTAACTTTTCTAATTATATATTTTACTTATTACCCACCTTGAGGCTTTAAGGATAGATGCAATAGAAACATTTTATTTAATTCTTTTAAAAGCCAGAAAATGGCACTCACCATCAACACGCCAACTATTCATGAATATGTGCTCTGCTAATAAGCGGGAAGCTCGAAGTCTCATTTCAATTAAGTGCTATTCTATTCGACACAGGCAATTTAAGGCTGCTGCAGGAGAAAGGAAAGGACACTCTAGTCCTGCTGCCTGCCCCATCCCCAAAGTCTCTCATCAACTCTGTCTACATCCTACTCCCTTGTGCTTGTTTTCTTCCCATGTAAGAGATATTAGTACTGTGAAAACACTGCTTAATTATTACTGCTAAATAAATCCACTGGCTATAAGTAGCACTTCCATATGCACTTAAGACTAAAGAGGGAAGCACTGGTCTCTCTCTCAAAACAGTCTATATTCCAAGAAAGAACTGAAGTGAATGAGAGGGTGGGGGGAAGAGATCAAGGGCAAGCACAGCAAACTCAGTTAAGCTTTCAACTCCTTCAGCCACACCTGTCTCTTATTATGCAGAAGATCAACACTGAAAGGCAAAATGTGTGCTATTTCCTGAGCACATTACAGGGAACAGGTGCTCATTATACAGAAACAAAGACAAATACAGAGCTAATCTGTGTAACTTCTGACACATTATGCAGCCATTACAATTGTTAAGTGTCAGAAATTTCCAAATTAACTCAGTGCCCAGGTTTTGTGCCTTAATATCCACACAAGGACACACATCTTAATAAAAAAATCTTCAGCACTGTGCAATAGAAATGCACACTAATTTACATACATACAAAATAGAGCATGCCCTAAACATTTTATAAATCGCCATGCTTGGAAATATAAATTGCAATAATCCACAACTCTCACAGCCTCAGTAAGGTGAGCAACATTCATCTGGCAGGGTTATTTTAAAGACATCTCTTTTTAAGCACAAAATCTCTGGATTTTGTGTCTAGTGAATGCTCTTGATTGGTATTTCTGCAAGTTCTCAGTACAAGCTGGAGAAGGACCAAACACAATTTACAAAGCAGGAAAAGCTACAAGCTTCCTCTGACCGTAAAGGCAATGCAAAACACTGGCTAAATTTAAGGTATACAAGCAGAAGCACATCTCAGAGCAGCTTATTTCCTGGAGGTTTTTGGGTCCCTGCTTCCCTGACAGAGTAGGCTGCCTCCATAGCGCAGGGAGGTTAGTTGGCAAGGGACAAGATGTCTCAGAGCATATGCTATGAGAATATATCATGAAATCTTTGTTCATTGCCACCCAAGATGCAAGAAGCTGGGTATATTGCCAACATGGCTTTTAGCTTTGCAATCTTGTTTGGTTGAAAACTGCTTTCACACATTGCAAATGGCAAGAAAGCCAAACCAAAGGAACTTGCAAATAAAAATAAAATGGCAAAAGCCTTCAGTCCTAGTTCATACTGCCTGAAGGCAGCTTCCTTAGTCCAAGTCTGCCATTATTGCTTTTTTAAGAGAATCCAACTTGCATCTTATTTACATAATTACATCATTGGTCCCCTGCACCAACTCATAAGAACTCAACATTTTAAACATAGTTCTGTGAGTTGTTTTTATTAAAAAAAATATGAACACCCAGGAGCTGACCACCTTGATGCCAAGTGGAATGGTTTATGAAGTGGAGTTCCTCAACAGAACTTAGTTGATGTGCAAGTACAGCACAGGCTGCATCAAATCCAAGTTATGAAACAAGGCTGACATCTAGCGGCCAAATATAAATTACTTCATATTTTAATCTTTATCCACAGATTAATAGGTAAACTACATTTTGATTGTTCGCCCTGCTGAATTCAATTTCCTATAAAACAGGCTGGCTAAAAGCCTTCATGCTGTAATTAAAGCAATGCTCAGTAAGAAAATAAAATGCAATTCGCTTCTCTCTCTGAAACAGGAAATGTTTACCTCAAAACACCGCCAGAGTTAGCTGGTAAGTACTATGTTTCACAAATAAAGATTTCTGGGGAAGACCCAAATACTAGGAATATAGGCAGAAGAAAATAAGTTATGGTTTTCAAGTACTGTGTCCTTCCACAGCTTACAGTATCTGTGGGATGTACATAAATATTTCACCAGAAAGTACAGCAAGATGTTTTATTTCACCCCAAATGTAGATTATACTGGTTTCCCCATGGAGTGATTTTGCTACTCCTGATTCTGAATGTTCTTTGCCAGTTAATCCAAACTACCCCATTAACTGATCTTATGCCCTGTACAAGACAGTAGAATTCCCTGGTCTTGCCATTCACCTTTGTAGTCTTGATTTGGAATTATGGTTACCATTAAATTATCTGAGGCCAGCACCCCACCTTCCCCAGTGCTTAGTGAAGACCTTTTTATTTCAGCTGACATTTTAAGTTTTCTTATTTTGTTTTATTAGTTTTAACTTATCTTTATTGTATCTTTTTATTCTTACTGTACAATGCTGAGATATGAAGGTGTTTAGCAGTATATCAATTGCTGAAATAAATAAACAGTAGTAATAAATTAATGAGTATGAAAAATAAAAGATTGACTGTGATGCAAAGTGTCTTTATTACAAGCACAGAGAGCAACTGCTTCTGAGATGGAGTGTGACCAAGGGCAGATACCAAAACCCTTTGTTCAGTAGAGCCCACTGTTGTCAGGTGTACATCATTTCTGCCATGTGGGACATTTTCTTAGGGATATACAGGAAATACTCCATGTACCCTGAAAGATCTTCAATAGTCACATCATCCACATGAGCCCTGGCTTGCTCAGAGCAAGACCTGAGAGAGCTGGAGGGAGTTCTTGATGGCAAAGGTTGGGAACTGTCCTGCACATGTGGTGGTCTTTTAGGTGCAGACTGGGGAGAATTTTGTGGGCCAGAAAACATGTACACTTTCATGTCCTGCCATCGCTTACATTGGCAGGCCCTGTCTACACACGCACAGAGTTTCCCTTTATTTTGCTCAGACACAGATTGGAAATCAGAAAGATCTGTGGCCTTTAGAACGGCTGAAGTAGGAAAAACACCACTTTCAAGTTTGTTCTTAGGCATTTCAACCATGGATGCCACAGAATGCTGAGCACCCTTTTGTTTCTCGCCAACATCATTGAGGGGGTGACTGGCCTGTTCATTCTTAGAGAACTCCTTTGGGGTTGACACATCCGGGTCACTGCTGCTTTCAGAAGTGTCAGCTGGGTTCTTGTGCACTGGCTGGTTACAAGGCAGCATTTTCGTGGTATAATGGATAAACTTAGGAGGATGGAGTACTGGAGACTTTGACCGCCGCCGACGCTGTGTTCTCACTGTTCCTCTCAAAGGTTTCCTCAAACACCTAGAAGGTGAAAATGCAAAAGTTAATACAGCATAAATGGTCATCCAGCTCTCTCTAGTCACTCTATGCGGCAATTTACGAAGAAGTGAGTGTTTAACAACTTTTCAACTTTCCTATATGGATCACATGGAATGTGCCTACATTATACATCCAGACCCATGTGCAAATAATGTCATCAAACACCTAAACGGCAGAATAAGGGGGTCATCATGCCACAGCATACGTATAGTTTTAATACCTACCTAGAACTATTCTAAGACAGGTAAGAAAACTCAGCTACATGTTAGTCCTAGTACAGTATAGTTTACACAGCTCAGAGATGTGGGCCTAAGAGCCCCTATCATCACACTTAATGCCTTCAAGAGTGGGATCCAATGTAGTGCCAAGGCATTCGTTCATCAGTGCAAGGATTTCTACTTGCACAATGGAGAGTTGCTCTTTTTTCTTTTGAAGAGTTGGTGGGAGGCATATATTTTACACATAAATATATATCCTTCTAGAATCTGAATGCAACACGGGATGTTTCTGCAGCTCCCCTTCCAATCCCCTTGAGGCAATAATGTGTTGTGTAAGTAGCAGTGCCCTGATTTGGAAGAAGACACCACCCTGATAACAGCAACTTTTCTGCCCTTTTTGCCAACGGACATGTAAAAACCAGTTATCTGTTTTCCAATTACGTGAAGGGCTGGAGATTATCTGAACAATAAGACACGTGGCAGTTTGCCCTGCCCTCCTCCTGGGGAACAGGAACATGCCTCAACTGCAGTGGTCAAGTGTGCTACTACTTGATGAGACCACTTTCACATCTCTTCTTTGCTCCCAAGTCGTCATCTTCAAGCTCCAGCCTCTCAATATTTATAAGCAGCTCCAGGAGGCCATGTTCAGCAGAACACTTTAGCATTTCCACATTTGACATAGTTCCATTAATCAGAACTAATTCATCTTACCAATGCCAGCTCTCTTTAGATGCACACACAGACTTCACCTTGGTTTCATCTGTAGTTTTTACAAGTGCTCTTGGAGGCACCCCCTCATTTACAGGAAGAGAAGCAGTGGATCTAAAACCAGGAAAAATACAGGCTGTCATAAATTTGTAAGACTGTTCTATTTCCCTCAATAGAGGTTAATTTCTGTTAAAGTTCTAACCTTTTCCTCCATTGCTCCTTGGCTAACTTATGAGGGCATTCCAATATCCACACAAAATCGTTAATATATCACCCACACTTGGCTCCTTTTTGTATTTTGGCCAGCATGCTAGTTTGGACAAGAACAACCTGACCAACAGTGTAAATCCAGGATGCAAGGGGAAGCAGTCCCGTAATAAAAGGTGCCCTACAGATGTTCAATCACAACTCCCTTGCTGGCTGGGGCTGATGGAATTCCAACAGCATCTGGAAGACACCACATTGCCTACCCCTGCCCTAACACATGAGTAAATTCCCCCAATTATGTGTGGTCCAGAAGGGGTCATTCCCTGAATACGCAGAAGGAGCAGTCAAGTGTGACTAGATAGCCATACCCCGAGAAAGCATGGTGCCAACTTGCATACCCCATTACACTTTCCTGCAGCTGCACTTAAAAGGCAAAAACTGCTGGCCTAACCAAGTAAACCTTTCTAAGCTTTCCAGGGATTTACCCAATCACAGTACTCAAAGGAAGCAAAAGAGATCATGGAGCAGATGGGTAATTACTTAACCAATGAAAAGTTTTTGGTGGTATTAAAAAACTGTAGTTCTAAGCTCTATCATAAAATCCATCAAGACTCTACGTCTCATTCACAAAAACTCTTCAGTTCTCCCTATTTCACTATGTTTTGTCATGCTTCTTCAGTAATTTAATGGTTCACCCCAACTGGCCTCATCATATTCCATTTCTACAAATCATCCAAACACCATGGAAAAGCTAGGGATGGACAATACTTTTATCACATAGTTGTAAAACCTAAACCAGGTCAATTAAGATGAAACTGTCTCATGAAGGCCACTAATCTCCAATGAGGAGTGTATTACAAACTAAAAATTGGTGATATTACTACCAATGAGTACTGCTTACAGTTGATGTGTATCCAGTAAATGGGACTGCCCTGTATGCTCCCTATGTCACTTGTGATTGTAAGTCGCTTTGAGTCATTTTTAGGAGTAAAGCAGCTAATGATAATAATCAGCTACATTCACATAATGCTAAGCCATGGTTTGTTTTAACCATTGTTTGATCAACAAACCACAAATCAACTCTCAGAAGAACAAACAGGCTACAGTTTGTTACTTGAGAGCTTGGCTTGTTGTCCAGCAGCTCTTTGTCCTGTGCTCTGTAGCTTGATGAGAGTTTGGGGCAGGATGGGCAAACCATGGTTAAACAAGGCTATTGGGCTTGGACATAAGCTAGACCAGTGTTCCCCAACCTTGGGCCTCCAGCTGTTTTTGGACTACAATTCCCATCATCCTTGACCTCTGGTCTTGCTAGCGAGGGATGATGGGAGTTGTAGTCCAAAAACAGCTGGAGGCCCAAGGTTGGGGAACACTGAGCTAGACTACAGTTAAAAACAAGATTACGCTTTGGCTCAACAAACCATGGCTTGGTGTTATGTGCTAACTAGACCAATATCAAACTTCACTCAAAAACCATGGCAGCAAGAATTTTTTCAAAACAAACTTCAGTCACAAAGCCATTTCATTTCCCACACTGTGCAGCCATGTTTTGCTCTTAATAGTAAAAATTACATTAACTTACCCTTCTGAGTCTACTCTTAGCTTTTTGAAAGCTGCCTGGAGATTCTCTTCTATCTCCAACATTGTTAGAGAACGACCCACTGCTTCCTCTCTGCAAGCTAAAGAAAAGAAGAAAAATAAGCATGTGAGAATAAAATGGAGGCAACTAATGTTGTACAGAAATTCATACTAGATTTGACTAGTGGCAGCGATCCCAGCTCCATGGTATTATCAGGAAATGAAACAAGACTTATAAATAGCAATTTAATAGTGTCTTCACACAAGGCACTCAAATCCTGTTGGAGAAGTCAAAGTTGTCAGAAGGCTTATACACCAATCTGACCAACAATTTTAAGTTCTGACTGCTGTGCAAGAGCAGACCAAACTTCTCCAGGAAAAAAAATGACACCTCAAAGGATCACTTCATACATTACTTGTAGGGCTGCTTCATCATTCCTATAGGAAAGGCAATTATGTGTAGGAATTAACATGTTATGTTAGGCTATATGATACAATAATCCTACAAATGTTTAACTTGCTAATTCCTATCCAGGTATTGTCCCATTCTAATTTTGCAGTGTAAGAAGTTAATGCATAGAATGTTCAGTTGTGTGGACACTTCTGTAGCTTGGGGGGGGGGGAGATAATACAGAAAAGAGCCATGAGACTCCAGTCAAGGCATAGGCAAACTTGGCCCTCCAGATGTTTCGGGACTACAACTCCCACCATCCCTAGCTAACAGGACCAGTGGTCAGGGATGATGCGAGCTGAAGTCCCAAAACATCTGGAGGGCTCTAGTCCTACATACATTTATTAAGGAGTCCCACTGAATTCAGAGCTTTCCCGGCAAGCCTGTGGAGGTAGAGCTGCTTTGCAGTCAGTTTGGCTTGTGATCTCCATCTAACTGAAGCCCAGAGCAAGAGGCTGTTCTCCATTTTGTGGGAATCTTGAGCACACATATGACTACACTGTTGGTATTCTTTGAACGCCTCCTGACAGAAAAGGCCATCATTGTCCTTATCTGTTTCCCCAAGTACCATTTTGAGGAGGTTTTTTAAAAAAGGATAAGGTAGTTCAGAAAAGCAAAGCTATACAAATACCATATTATGAAGCAAAAATATTCATTTGGTGATCCTTTATCGAGATCTGAACATCTGTCACAGGTCCTGTGTGGTAACGTTCATCCCCTTCTTTAAACAAAAATATAAACTAGAAGTATGTTTCTTTCTTGCAGTGTTGATTACCATAAATATTCCAATCTTCTGCTGAGCTCAGTGCTTATTTCTGAAGGTTTGCAACCTACATATGGTCAGATCTCCTAGTGGCCTAATTCAAAACCTCTCCTAGTGGCCCAATTCAAACCTAACAGTATAAGCCCATTTAAAAACTACACAAATCTCAGACTTAAATGTTTACCTCTCTTCATTCAATGCATGCCAGGAAAAGGCAGGAAGCACATGCTTTCTGGTTTAAAACTAACTACGGTTTGCAATTTTATTAAAACAAGGAACTTCCATTAATCAAACTATTGATTTATTGGAACAAGGTAGAATCAGCAACTAGAATGATCTTGGCTTACTTCAATAAGACATAGTTTAAACCAGCCACAGAGTGTCCTTATCAGAGATTATGACAAACCACAGCTGTTTTTTTAAACTCAGAAGTGGAAGCTTCACATCTGTTTCTCACAGCTGCACCAGAGGGATCGGGTGTCAGGTCACAAGGAAGGGAAGCACCCAAACCTGAGACCTGCCTCTCCGCTTCACAGTGCTGAACTATATTACGTTGCTATATCTAAATCAAACCTTTTATTAGGTTAGAAGCAGCCATAGAGAGGGATTTGGATTGGACTTCAATGCTAGGGTGCTGGGGATGGGATTTTTTTTAAAAAAAAAACAAACTAACATTTCTTCCTCTATCATTTCTCACCAACTTAAATCACCCACCCAACTCAACTCAACCCAACCAGTTGCTATTAGCACCAAAAGGGAATAGACAATCCAAGGCTGTCCCTAAAGCTGTTTTTAGCACCACAGACAAGACACTGGGATGCAGGACATCATATCTTGTATCGATCTGGCATTATCACCTCTTGCAACAACCCAGCTCTGTGTATGTTTACTGTGAAGCAAATCTCACTAAATTTGATGAGGCTTACTTCAAAATAAGCATACATAAATCTGCAGCCAGCATTGCTGGAAATTGTTGCAATTCCTTTACCTTGTAGTGATTGCACTGCTACATTCATATTTCCTTCTAGTTTGTCAATATTTTCCAAACAACTGGTGAATATTGATACTACTTTAGAAATACTATATAATACTATACAGGTAGTAAAGACAATCCTGTTTACAGGAGAGATTAAGACCTTCTTAAGCCAGTGACTTTGATTATTACCGTAACTCTAAATCTCACTGATGTGGTAAAACTTCTTAGACAGTAGGCTGAGACACACATGATGAAATGCTAACTCATACAGTCCAGTTGGTATGGAAAACGAGATCTCAGAGAGTGGGTTCCTTAAGCCTACCAGTGGCAAACATTAGTCATTTGAGCCCTCATTTGCAGTGTACAGATCCAGAATATGGTTAGTCTCTCAGTGAAAACAAAACTTTAATTTCAAGTAAAAAAATTAACCACATTATGACTAACTTAGAAAGAAGGAAGCAAGTGTCACTGAAACTCAGTGTCTTATATTGAGACCCTATGCATGATACCTTTTATATTAATAGCCATGCATAGGGCATGATCCAAAGCAGCATGTGCAACAGGGCTTCTCTTCTCCTTGCTCTCCTTTTCCCTGCAGCCCTCCAAACCTGCTCCAGAGTTGGGGAACCTCTGGAGATTTTGGCAGCACACAGGGAGAGAAGAAAGCTAGTTTGTTGTGCAAGTAGATTTCCATTGCATTAGGTAGACAACATTGGATGTCTCCCATAGAAACTAAAAACAAGGTGGTATAAATATAATCTACGGAACTGACCATAGATATCAGCTCTAATTTTTCCATGCAGAAGGCACACAAAAACTATTTTTAAAATTACTAAAATGAATATTAGGTTGACACACCTAAGCTACCTACATATGCTCTAAAAAGAAAATGCTGGGGTGTTCAAATTTTGCAGCCCTCACATTTGTTGAAAAACTAAGATAAAGGCAATAAAATGAAAGTGGCAGAAAAATGCTCACTTGGACAGAACTCCCTCCCTGCTCCACTCAGCTGATGTTTGTTTGCTCTGAAATGATTTCATTCAGACATGTGCCTTAGCTACTTGCTTGACATATGTCATTGTGACACATCTAGAAGGATGGAAGTGTGTCATAATGTATTTGATGTAAGTATTAAGTGTTGACTCAGGCAACAAGGAAGACACAAAAGGAAGTGATGAACTACAAGACTGCTTTCTGAATTCCTATCTGCCATACAGATGGATTACAAAGGTACATAAAACAGCTTGTCTTTCACAGAAAACTTAATTGAATACTGGACCCTCTGAAAGCCTGAGGCAAGCTCTCACTTTTTATTATTCACAATGAAGATATAAAAACAGAAGTGTATATACTTTGTGCAAATCATGGTTAGTAGCAGTAATAATACTTTATGAAGCGTCTCAAAAATTAGGTACTGTACTGTTAAAATGAGAACAAATCCTGTGTGTGGGGTTACAATAAAAATAATTATAGATGAAGGAAAAGGAGAGACAGAAATTAAAAGTTAAAAGTTAATAATATATCAACTTCCAGATAATTTAAACTAAACCCTCATACAATGGGCTGATGTGGCACCTTGAGCAAGCTCTGGACTTTCACCCTAAGCTGAACTGTGATTTAGTGACAACTATGGTTTGTTTCACCAGCAGTGTTAGAAACTGAGATATAAACACTAGGAGACAAATGGCTCCTGAAACCTGGGTAACAGAAACAAAAACAGAATTGCTAGTCACCATTTTTACTCAATGCAGCACTTTCCATTTATTTTTTCCAAAACAGTTCTTAATTGGACACCACAAACTAAACGGTGCTCAGCCTCAGCAATAGTGGCCAACCATAAGTATTTATAAATTCTGTTATGTTTGCATGTATGCATGTGTACAGTGGTGCCTCGCAAGACGAAATTAATCCGTTCCGCGAGTCTCTTCGTCTTGTGGTTTTTTCGTCTTGCGAAGCACGGCTATTAGCGGCTTAGCGGCTATTAACGGCTTAGCGGCTTTAAGAAAAAGGAAACAAACTCGCAAGACATTTCGTCTTGCGAAGCAAGCCCATAGGGAAATTCGTCTTGCGGAACGACTTAAAAAACGGAAAACCCTTTCGTCTAGCGAGTTTTTCGTCTTGCGAGGCATTCGTCTTGCGGGGCACCACTGTATGTGTGTGTATCTCTTAGTCCAAAATGTTATGCTGCAGCTTCAGCAAGTACTGCAGTCAGTTAAATATGTCTGTTATATAAAAATTCTTGGAAAAACAGGCCTAACAGCACAATCCTAACCATTTCTACACAGAAATGGATACTACTGAATTCAAAAGGGCTTACACCCAGGCCAATGGGAATGGGATTGAAACCTACCCGGTAATTCATTATTTTTAAGCAGTACCTCTTCATTTGCAAGATAATATTTTTTGCCGGACTCCCTGTAGAGCTGTTAGGGCTGGGCGATATAAACTTTTCAACATCGCAATGTATCACCAGCTAAACATCACAATATATTGTGATACAGCATTAAATTGAAAAGGAAGGAGCACATTCAACCCCAATCATTACTAACAATTGTTAGGCATGTTTTGACAGTGGTTAGGAGAAGATCCCGTGTAAAAAGCCATTGTCAGGTTTTTGCATCAAGGTTGCACTAAAAAGTCTCAGATGTAAGAAAAGCATACAGCATCAGGCCAACAACCCATATAATTCAGCATCCTGTTCACATAGTGACCAACCAGATACCTGTGGAAAACCCACAAACAGGACCTAAGCACAACTGTACAGCAACTATAATTTTTACCATTCCATATGTGAGGACAGATAGGATCTGAATCTGATAGTTGTTTGAGGGATATTGTCTCCAAAACCATCTGAAAACAAAATTATTCATTTTGTATTTGATAGATCTGACTTTTATCCAGACCCATAAAGTGTGGAAAATGTATATGGCTATAGCTGGACACACAGATTTTAAAAATTGGGGGGGGGGGGGGAGAGATGTAGTTTCTAGCAAGTTAACATGTGGTCTGATACTTAAGAGAACCATATGATTTTTGCTGCAGAAAGGTTTATTTCCTAATCAAAGAAATATTTGGTGTTTTTTAAAAAAATAGACACTTTCCACATTGTAACAAAAACTTTGCTTATTCTAACTGCTTTTCTCTGCATTACCACTACCTGATACATTCAGCTATCTTTTTCCTAATGTTTTCAAAAACAGAAAGCCAAACAATCACACTCAGACCCAACAGACACAAGTTATCAGGGTTCTGGCTCACAGACCAAACTGGGCCCAACAGGACCCCGCAACTGGCCAGGGTCATTTCAGCCTAGCCATGCCCACCTGACCTAACAGGCAAGGGCAAGTAAAACCTGGCTCAGCCTAAAAGGGTTTGCAGGCACCACCAGCCAGCTGACTGATGGAGCCCCAAAAAGCCCTATGCAAAGCATTCCAAAGATAGCCCTTTTGAAGGGTGTCAGCAATACAGTGGTGCCCCGCAAGACGAATGCCTCGCAAGACAAAAAACTCACTAGACGAGAGGGTTTTCCGTTTTTTGAGTCGTTCCGCAAGACGAATTTCCCTATGGGCTTGCTTCGCAAGATGAAACGTCTTGCGAGTTCTTGCGAGTTTGTTTCCTTTTTCTTAAAGCTGCTAAGCCGTTAATAGCTGCTAAGCCACTAAGCCGTTAATAGCCACTAAGCCGCAAGTTTTTTCTTCTTGCGAGTTTTCCGTCTTGCGAAGCACGGTTTCCCATAGGAATGCATTGAAAATCAATTAATGCGTTCCTATGGAGACCGCTTGCCAGGCTGGCGGTGCGGAGAAGGGCTTTTCTCCCCACCGCAAGCCTTCAGGACAGGTACGGGAACAGAGGGGAAGGGGCGCAGCGCTTCTCCTCTGTTCCCGGGGCTTGCGGTGGGAGGAGGGTTTTTCCTCCCCACCGCCAACATTCAGAACAGCATTCTGAATGTTGGCGGTGGGAAGGAAAACCCTCCTCCCACCGCAGTCTTCAGGACAGCCATTCGAAGGCTGGCGCGGGGAGGTCTCTCCGCCCCACCGGCCGGCTTCGGAGCATCCTTCCGAAGGCTGGCGCGGGGAGAAGGTCTCTCCGCCCCACCGCCCGGCTTTGGAGCAGCCTTCCGAAGCCTGGCGGTGGGAGGAGGTCTCTCCGCCCCACCGCCCGGCTTCGGAGCAGCCTTCCGAAGGCTGGCGGCAGGGCGGAGAGACCTCCTCCCGCCGCCAGGCTTCAGAGCAGCCTTCTGAAGGCTGCCGGTGGGGCGGAGAGACCTCCTCCCGCCGCCAGCCTTCGGAGCAGCCTTCCGAAGGCTGCCGGTGGGGCGGAGAGACCTCCTCCTGCCGCCAGCCTTCGGAGGAGGTCCGAGGACAGTGGGGAAGACGCGCTGCGCTTCCCCGCTGTCCCGGAGATTTCCCTATGGGCTTTCGTCTTGCGAAGGAAGCCCATAGGGAAATTCGTTTTGCGAAGCGCCTCCAA